GGTGGAGGCCATCGCTCTTAGGTTGGAAGCCATCGCTACTAGTAACACGAAGCTACCTGTAACAAGGATACTACTAGGTGGAGGCCATCGTTCTTAGGTTGGAAGCCATCGCTACTAGTAACAAGAAGCTACTAGTAACAAGGATGCTACTAGGTTGAATGAGTTCTATTGGCGTCGTGACTCGACCAGGAGAGCTGCCAGCATCTTACAGGCCATGAGCTCGCTGAAGCTGTGAAGAGCTTGGCCTTCCAGCGCTTTCACCCTGAGGCCAGAACCAATTTGTGAAGGGCTGGAAGAGCTTTCTGTTACTCGTAGACTAAACACTGCTTGGAATGAGACAGATCCATGCCTTTCGCAGGCAAGCTGCCAGCCCAAGCGTTTGCAGCAGATCACCAAAGCGCTTTCTAGCAGCTGCTGCTTGGTACTGATGGGGCCTGGGGTTCGAAGCTACGGGCTTCAGTTATTGCCTGTTAGTCACTGTTAGTCTCGATGGCACCGGCTGTTTGGTTCAGCCATTTGAGATGGTTTTGCCAAGGTGCACGCCTTTTGGACATGGACGCTTTGTCAGATGACTTTGACACACCCGTCTCTTGGTCAACTTTATGCTATAAACTTTATACTGTGACATTGTTATGAAGTTATGAAGCAGAGTACCTTTGCTGTAGGCCTCTTTTCTGAGGTGCATGCCTCTTGTGTAGCACCAAAGTGAGGGCAGCAAGGAGGTCGCAGGTAGTCTGCGGCGATGCTCTCCAAGACTTCGGGATTGATCCAACATATTCAAAAAGAAGAGATCTTAGGGAGCTAGTTGGATTTACGTAGAGACTAGTCTGTTCTTTTTTTCTGAGTGAGCGATTCCATACTCCATGCCAATTCCGGACCAAGTCCCACATCAAAGGACGATCAGGAGACTCTGCTGGGCCTTTTTCCATTGGGATCATTGGGGCAGTTCAATAGCGGAACTGCTCCATTGGGACGACTGCCCTCGGCTCCAAGTGATCACAAGGCAGAATGCCACAAGGGAATGCAAGGAAAGGTCCAACCATTATATAATCAGTGACGTTAGTCACCCTCGTGGGTCATACCCTTGCCCCTTAATAGCCTTTACAAGGAAAACAACTGCAAGGGAAGTTGCTGGTGAGCTAATTTACTTCAACTGCCCATGAGAAAGAGAGGAAATTATTCCTTGGCATTCTACCCACAAGATAGTCTCTTCTTGTCTTAGTTGCTTCTGAAGCAACGGTTTTTCCTCTGGACCGTCAAGGTTCGTGAGACTGGAATAGACAGAATTGACATGAACATGTCCGTCTGTTGCAGAGAAATTTGTTGCAGGGCTTCCCGTACAGATGACCGAGAATAGGGTCCACAGTCCTGGCAAGGCACCTCACAGGTGACAGACTCGGTCTGCGGGTTCTTTACCTGAAAGAACCGCGACCGACCCGGACGTTTGTCCAGGCTTTCGCGGATGCAAAGATGGGCCCCAAGTCTAAGTGACCTTCATACCTTGGAGCTGCGCCCTACTTGTTTGTGTTGTCAGGGATGGTCAATCAACAAAGACGCAGGCAAAGTTAGGTTATTTATATATATATATAGAGTTTCAGATTGTTTTGGCTCTCTGTTCTATTCCGCACACAAGCTGGGGCTGTGTCGGTGAGCAGTAGAAGTTTGCGCACAGCAGGAATTGGTTTGAGGCCGTTCTCCTTAGAAACCAACAGGAGGAACATTTTCCGGCCAACCGTGAGAGGCTTCGTGACCTGTCCGAAGCAAAATACAATGAAACACCTGCCAACAGATTGCAATTAGGTAATCAAGCTGGCGATGTCACGATGCCTAGCTGTACATAGTTTCTATCATTTCAAGAAATGATGAAGGAATGCTTTGATCTGAAGATCAAGTGGAACTCCGGACGCACTCACTTCAAGGGAATAACATCAGTGGTAAGGGCTCGATGCAACATGAAGGCGGAAGGAGTGGTGCAAGATGGTTGTCAGGTGAAGTCCTATTCAGCCTTTCAGCAATGTGGGGTGTAAGCATCAACGAAGTTTACTCACTCACTTTTGACTTTCTATATACTACAGTATGTATATGTAGTTGTCATTCCCCAACACATGAGGCTGTGCGCAATTTGCCAGAAGCAACGAAGCTTGGTGTTCAGCTGGCTTTTTTGAACGAATCTTTCATCCTTACAGACGTCTTTCGTTGATGATCCTGTTCGGGTGCACAGTGCATACTGCCAGTGCCAGGTCGCAGCTGCGGCGCTGTGATTGTGGAAAGATTAGCATGCAGGCGTTTCATTTGCAGGAGGCCATCGCTAGTAGGTTGGAACTGGGTTGGAGGCCATCGCTAGTAGGGTGGAGACCATCGCTACTAGGTTGGAGGCCATCCTGGAGGCCTTCGTGGCACTTGAGTTCCCCAAACTCCATGCTGCCACTTCATCAACAAATCAGCTGCGAATCCAACATCCCGTCCACAAATTAATTCACGCTGCTCTCATGGATATTCTCCTTTGCAAACGGCTTTGTTTAGATCAGTATTTTCAAGACAGACAGAGTGCAAGCTGATTGTGTGGACCTTGTACACAACTAATTGGCTTGGAATGCAGTCAACACGTCAGGGTGACGGCTGCCCGTGCACAGCTCAGTGTGCTGACATACATCAGTCCCCCAATGCGTTGGATCCTGTCGATCCTGACTTTCAATTGCAGTTACTTTGCTTACACACGGCAGCACCTTTGATTCTTACACACTTGTAACGCTCATGTGCGAGATTTTCTCCTTTTAACTTTTTAAGATCATTGTTGCAGCCACAGGGCAAAGGTGCACCGCTCAACAAAAATTCTCGTATGAGGAGCTGTCAGAAACAACCCGGTGGCTTGAAGCTGAGCCGTAGATTGGACAATCTCATGCAAGCCGACCTGTTGCCTTCTCCTTACAGATATTGTCACACAACCTGACAGTTCGATTATTGTTTGCAGAAGCTTCTCTCACCTGTCATTAAACTGGCATTCTTAGCTCTTGCCATAGGGGCCAATTCATTGCTCCGATGAGTGAGGGATTGTGCAGGTGTCACTGGAGTCTTGGACTTTAGATGGTTGAGGAAAGCCCTGCCGATCCTTTTAGGAGTCTATGTTCCAGCAGTTTGGTCTCCATGCGCCAGTCTAGATCAGATTAGGGATATTTGGTTTCTTGAATGTATTTACAAAGAATTAGATCCTCTTGACATTTGAGGTAGCTTTCCACGACTTTGCGATGTGCGCCTCTGTGGCTCCACTGCCTCCGGTCTTGAGATTGAGGCACGCGGCAATTGAGCAAGCGATATTCTTGGCAAGCAATCTGGCATCAAGGCGGCGAAAGAATTTCTTCGAAACATTGAAAGGTCCTAGTGTAGTTGTCACAATGGTCGTAGTGGTAAGTAGCACTCGTAGTCATAGTCGTAGTGGTAGTCGTAGTGGTAGTCGTAGTGGTAGTCGTAGTAGCAGTAGTAGCAGTAGCAGTAGTAGTAGCAGTAGTAGCAGTAGCAGTAGCAGTAGCAGTAGCAGTAGCAGTAGGAGTAGTAGTAGTAGTAGTGGTAGTAGTAGTAGGAGTGGTAGCAGCAGCAGCAGTCTTAGAATTCTTAGTCTTAGTCACAGTCCTGGTCTTAGTCTTTTTCTTTGTCTTAGTCGTCGTAGTTGTCGTCGTTCACTGTGGGTCAGGGAGCTGTCACGAACCCCTTACACCGAAAGTTTAATGTTGAACGCGACTTCTTTCAAGTTGCCTTAGGGTTCGACTTGTTTCGTCCATTCGTCCAAACACTGTGGCAGGCTTGCTGACATTGAGTTTTGGGGTGGAAGGGGTCAAGGTGGTTTGAAGGGTTTGAATATTTTGTCCATGTAGGGTGGTAGTACAGTACTGGGAGTAGCAGTAGGAGTAGCAGTAGGAGTAGCAGTAGGAGGAGGAGGAGGACGAAGAAGAAGAATAAGAATAATAATAATAAGAAGATGATGATGATGATGATGATGATGTGGAGGAGGAGTAGAGGAGCAGCAGCCTCGATTAGTTGCCGGCCTCGATGGCTGTGGCTGTTTGCGGGGCACCAGGCTCCAGACTCCTGCCGGCAATGCTTGCCCTGGTCTCTGTTGCAGCCCACTCCAAAGTGCCAGACCAAGAAGTTTTCGTTTCAGGGAAAAGTGTGGTGTATGTTGTTGAATTGGTGATTCCAGATGGTAGTCATTTGACCTGGACTTTCAGTTTGCAGCTTGCATCTCATTCTCTGGGCTTTGTCTTAAAAAGACGCAGAAGCAGTTGCTCTGTGCTGGGAGATCAGTTTCAGCCACTGGTCAGGCCGATCATTGAGATTGGCATGGCAAGAGTGAAATGGTTGGAATCTGAGTGTGTCAGTCGAAGAAATGGATGGGTTCTTGCTTCTGAGTCTACGGTGTTTACAGTGAACACTACAGTAAGTAATCTGTGGAGTCTCTAAGTTTGTGCCTCGCAGCTTCTGCATACGCCAAGACATGAATCAAAAACTTAGGACCGGATAACCCCACATGTGAACAACTTCGAAAGATTGAGGCTGCAGGGGTAAAGTGCGGAAGAGTGAGCATGGGGAAGAGACAGGTGAGACAGATATAAGGCGTGAGGGTCTCTGTGTGTACGTGAGGTGTGTGTTTGTGTGTATGTGCTTGTTCGTCAGTGTGTATCAGTGTGTGGGTGGATGTATGCTGCTTGGCGCTTGTGTGCGTGTAGGTGTTGGGGGGTACTACAGTAGGTATGCGTGCATGTAGGAATGTTCGACAGTGTGCGCCTGGAGCATGTGTCTAACAGCAGGTGGCCGGAAGACATCATGGCACCGGCGATCCGTGTGCCAACAAAACAGTCAAGTCAAGCCCAGGGTGCTCGGGCAGGCTCAACACAAGAGTCGGCAGCTCACAAGCCGACGTGACATCAGCAAGCCGCTTCAGTACGACTTCGAACAAAGATCTCGTCAGAGGGCCGGTCGACGGAGACGAAGTGGTCGAAGTGTCCTGAGCAGGACCACGTACAAATCAACGGACACCGAGCTGTTACATCTCTTGAGCTGCTACATTAAAAACCGAATCGCAGACAGATTGCAAACTGAACGGAGTCTAACACGTCAGGGGCACAGCAAAATGCAGCTGCGTCGCTGAGTTCAAGGCACGACGATCATGAAGAAAGCATGGCGAAGCAGACTGACTCCTCTCAATGCTACAAATAAAACACAACGAAAGCATTCTCATGAGCAACACCAACCGCTACAAGGCTGGCACGATGCATTCCCCGCCTCGACTCAGCTCTAGACCACTTGGTCCTGGATGCCAGCGCGCTGCTTATTTCCATGCACGAGTACAAGTATAACGTATTTTACAGAACCATACAGTTTGGTCTACTGAGTTTTGAGCTCCCGTGTACGAGCGCAGGCAACGACCTCGGAGGCGACTAGATAAGACAAGCTCCTAAATGCTCCGAAAGACACCGGACGTGCAAACCGTGAAAGTTATCTGCAGTTCACAGCATTTGTTTTTCCAGCATTTATCCTGTCGTCGTCTAGTGACGGCCATCACGCTGTTAAAAATCACGTCTGAAATCAGCAAGGCGCATCAATCAGACAAAAGCAAAATATATATTAGCATATTTAAGGCTTCTCAGGTTTCATCTCCTCATCCTGTAGCGATGGCCGTCGCACTTTCCATACACACATCTGAAATCAGCAAGACGCATCAATCAGAAAGAAGGCGTGGGCACATCTACATCATCCAACATCAACAGGTCATGTCAATCAAAGACAAACATTTCACACATTCTTGGGATCACATCACCAAAAACCAACGATGTATGCTCACGGTCTATCCACAGTCACCAATTCCACTCCATTGGCGTCTCGAGTCATGCCCATGTACAGTGTGCCATAAAACCGCGCACCGTCTTGGTGCGTTGTCAGTTGACGATCTTGCCGGAAAGTGTTCATGCCATGCGCAGTGAACACAATCCGCACCAAGACTCCAGGCGGCCTTCCAAACAGAACTTCAAGCTACACAACAGCTTCTTTCTACTCACAGTCAAGCTTCCCCGGCCTCTGTGCATCAGCAACCACGTGTAGCGATCCCTCGCCGCCTCTTCCGTCATTCGAAGACTAAAGTAATCCGTCGCCCGGAGCCACAGTCTCCACCTGTCACTCAGCTGTCTGTAATCAGCGGCGTCAGAAGAAGAAACAAGACACTGAACGTGAAATGCGCATTTGTACCCAGACCTCTGGAAGGAGCAGCGCGTACATCACCGAATTGGGCGGCTGATAGACAGCCATGATGAAATGACGCACCGGGAAACTGGAAGCTGTAGCTGCGGAAACCAAACACATCGCAACGTACCCCATTACACTCCTTATTTCCAGGCACGATGCAGACAGAAGAACATCGGTCATATTGTTCATGTGCTAAGCGGCACCCTGATTGAGTCCCAGACTCATTGCGTCTGTGGCGCAAAACACTTTACGAGCTTGGAAGCTCACTTACCTGCGCACAGATAGGCAGATCTGCTGTCATCAGTCCCAAAAATGTTTCGAAATGCTTCGTCAGAGTTGCACCAGCCTGCAAGGCAAGGAGCCCCCGCACACGCAATAATCATGCGCAGCCACAAATAATCATCAAGCTGCAATTACACTGCTTATTTCCATGCGCGACGCGTACAACGCACTGGCCACTCGAAATGTCCACTTTGGATTCGCCGACCTGCATTTCCATGAACCTGCAAAACGAAAAGCAGCGCTACCCGTTTCCAACGCACAGCAATGAAAAAGAAAAAATAAAAATGCAATTACGCTCCTTATTTCCATGAGAGACGCACATCAATGCCTAAAGTTGGATTGGCAAACTTGCAGACGTCGATGGAACCGCAGTGCCTTAAACAACCATATCGATCGGCGTGTGGCCTGCGTCCAAAGCAGGGTACCTGACCGACAGGGAACCGCTGACGCAAGGAGAAGCTTTCCGCACTAACGCGATCATGACATTGAAGCAAAGCCGACAAGACACAAGTCCACAAGCACAGGTCCTCATCGATTTTAGTTCCGCTGCACACGAGCAGTCGTTGCGGTCAAGCCGTCCGAGACAAAATCAGTAAGCCACATCATTCATCTGCCAGTTGATGTGCAAAAGCCAAGGCGTTGGAGACAGAATCAGTAAGCCACATCATCCATCTCCCAGCTGATGGTGCACGTGCAAAAGCCAAAGTGTATGAGACGAAATCAGTAAGCCACATCATTCATCTCACACTCGGCAGCCTGCGCCCTATCATCAGTCTCCCGACAGCTAGGCGCGAAAGACTGGCAGATCAGGCAACACGGTGGCCAAAGTGTGCACCGCGCCCACACAAATTGACGACAGATCTGAGTCGCATGTGCCATTGCAGACCCTCGAATCCCCACAGGTTCTTGTGATTCGGAGGAGAGGTCCCCGTCAGATACCGGGTCAGCCGCTCGGTCAATTTGATCGGTTCTGCAACTTGCCGAAAATGTTCTGAGAAGGTCTCGGCCACGCGGTCTGCCATGTCGGTGCTGGCCACACCCATGGTGTTCCTGCTGGCGAAAACATTCAGAGCCGCGTTGCAATTAAAAACAGTTCTGCGCATACAAATTGTGTGTGTGTGTAGAAGTTGCGGGTGAGATGTTTGAGACGTTGTGTGTGAGGTGTTGCGCATGAGATGTTGTGTTGATAGAAGTTGCATTTGAATGTTATTGTGAGAAGTTGTGCGTGATATGTTGCGCACGAGAAGGTCCATCCCGGAGATGCAACTGCGACCGGCAGAGCGCGATTTGACAGCGTCCCAGAGCCACACCTGCCACGCAACTGCTACCGGCAGACCCCGATTTGACAACATCAAGGTCCATCCCGGAGATGCAACTGCGACCGGCAGCGCGATTTGACAACATCCCAGAGCCACACCTGTCACGCAACTGCTACCGGCAGACCGCGATTTGACAGCATCGCGATTTGACAGCATCCCACAGCCACACCTGCCACGCTACTGCTACCGGCAGAGCGCGATTTGACAGCATCCCACAGCCACACCTGCCACGCTACTGCTACCGCCCGAGCGCAATTTGACAGCACCCCACAGCCACACCTGCCACGCAACTGCTACCGGCAGAGCGCGATTTGACAGCAGCAAGTGCCGCGCACAGCACGCAAATGCTACCAGCAGAGCCGCGGTGCCCAGACGACGCCAGCGCGACGCCAGGGCGTACATCCAACCCCTTGGCGAGCGCCAAGTGCCGCGCACAGCGCGCACATGCTACCGGCAGAGCGGCGGTGCCCAGACAACGCCAGCGCGACGCCAGGGCGTACATCCGACCCCTTGGTCAGGGCCAAGTGCCGCACACAGCGCGCGCGTGCGACCGGCAGAGCGACGGTGCCCAGACGACGCCAGGGCGACGCCAGGGCGTACGTCCGACCCTTTGGCCAGCAGCAAGCGCCGCAGACAGCGCGCAAATGCTACCGGCAGAGCGGCGGTGCCCAGATGACGCCAGCGCGACGCCAGGGCGTACATCCGACCCCTTGGCCAGCAGCAAGTGCCGCAGACAGCATGCAAATGCCGCCGGCAGAGCGGCGGCGCCCAGACGACGCCAGGGCAACGCCAGGGCGTACATCCGACCCCTTGCGAAGCAGCAAGGGCCGCCATGCGTCCGACCCCTTGGCAAGCAGCAACTGCCGCACACAGCACGCAAATGCTACCGGCAGAGCGGCGGTGCCCAGACGACGCCAGGGCGACGCCAGGGCGTACATCCGACCCCTTGGCAAGCAGCAAGGGCCGCGCGCAGCGGCGGTTGAGAGGTTGTATTGTGATGTTGTGTTCCCAGACGACGCCAGCGCGACGCCAGGGCGTACATCCAACCCCTTGGCAAGCAGCAACTGCCGCGCACAGCACGCAAATGCTACCGGCCGAGCGGCGGTGCCCAGACGACGCCAGGGCGACGCCAGGGCGTACATCCGACCCCTTGGCAAGCAGCAAGGGCCGCGCACAGGGGCGGTTGTGTGTGAGATGTATGTGAGGTTGTGTGTGAGAGGTTGTATTGTGATGTTGTGTTGGGTGATGTCTTTGATAAGTTGTGTGTGAGATGATGTGTTGGAGAGGTTGTGTGTGAGAGGTTGTATTGTGATGTTGTGTTGTGTGATGTGTGTGGGAAGTTGTGTGTGAGATGATGTGTTGGAGAGGTTGTGTGCGAGAGGTTGTATTGTGATGTTGTGTTGTGAGATGTGTGTGGGAAGTTGTGTGTGAGATGATGTGTTGGAGAGGTTGTGTGCGAGAGGTTGTATTGTGATGTTGTGTTGTGAGATGTGTGTGAGAAGTTGTGTGTGAGATGATGTGTTTTGGAGAGGTTCTGTTCGTTGTGTGTGAGATGATGTGAGGTTGTGTGTCAGAGGTTGTGTTGTGATGTGGTGTTGTGTGAGAGGTTCTGTTAGTTGTGAGATGTTGTGTGTGAGATTATGTCTTGTTGTGTGTGAGATGTTGTGTGTGTGACATGTTGTGAGATTGTGTGTGACATGTTGTGAGATTGTGTGTGAGATGTTGTGCAGGAGGGTTGTGTGTGGAGTGGAGGAGGAGGTGTGTGACATGTTGTGAGGTTGTGTGTGTGAGATGTTGTGTAGGAGGGTTGTGTGTGGAGTAGGAAGGAAGGAAGGAAGGAAGGAAGGAAGGAAGGAAGGAAGGAAGGAAGGAAGGAAGGAAGGAAGGAAGGAAGGAAGGAAGGAAGGAAGGAAGGAAGGAAGGAAGGAAGGAAGGAAGGAGGTGCAGCAAAAAAAAACAAGAACCCCACACAACAATGTGGGGAACAAAGAAACACTATATAGTGCAATCCTCTGATTCAACTGGACACTTGTGATAAATATGATGTTCACCCACACAGCGGAGTTGGCCGGCAAAACTACCAAACTGCCAAACCACCAAGCTTCAAGGCGCCTTCATGTCATCAACTTGGGGGACCAGCCAAGCGACTTCTGCAGCGGCCCAGAGAATCACTGGGAGGCTGAGAGTCTTTTGAAGTGAAGTGGAGAAAGTGGAATGAGGACCAATATGAGCTTCAAGTTTCCCTAAAAGTCTAGGCGCGTGAGCTATCCTGCGTCCTAGCTAGGAGCGAACAAGTTCTTAATAGCCAACTAGCCTCCCCTTACTTAAGTAAGTAAGCGCCTACTAATACTTAATTAAGTAGGAGCGGGCAAAAACGATCTGAACACCTGCGTGACTTAGACTCAGACCCTGCAGGGTGCATGCGCAACAGATGTGCAACACAAGTGATGTCTGCCCTGCAGGTGGAGTGGAATTCACGTGCGGTGGCTTCAGGTACGATGTGGCGTCGGGACTTCAGAAAGAGTTGGAAGACTCTGCGCAGAAGTTGGACTTGTAGGTCATCCCGTCCACATCATGGTTTCTCCATGTTTCTCCCATTTTGCAAAGTCGACACCTGTTTGCATGGGATGACAGGATGTTCTGACAAAGGTCACGCGACGGCAGTCTACAGTGTACAGGCAGCTATGTGAGTTTTACCATGAATGCCCCATGTTGTACTGTGCTTAGGTACAGGTCACCTGGATGTGCGAGTGTCATTGCCAGATGGCGGGACCTGCCAGGCACTGACCTTATATATCTTGGCTTGTGCAAGTTCAATGAAGCTCACATCTCTAGCCTATGCCATGACCCTCATTCTGTTTCTCCCTCTCTCTCTCTGTTGAGAGGTGCAAGAAATGTATGGGGTGCAGCCGGGTGACCTAGCTGTGCGGGTTGGATTCGATATGGGGAATTTAATCAAAGAAGTTCTGCGTCTCATTGGACATTGAAACGAGGAGTCCTGACCTTTTTTTTTTTGGTATAGCCTTCCCTCGCGTAGGCTACTGATCAGGCGGGCATGGCCTCACCTAGCCTGTGCATATGCACCTTGCGCGGTAACTACCTTCTGCGCAGGCTAACTTCGCAGTCTGGGTAGCCGTTGCGTAGCATCGTTCTGTTTTGGTGTAAATAGGGGGCAAGCAACAAGGAAAGACGGCTCCCTTGATGTAAAAGGAAGTGGCCAACTTCACTCCTTGGTACGTTGCAACCAAGTTCACTCATTCGCCGTTTCCCGTCAGGAGCCCCGGCTGTCCACAGCTACTTTGCATTGGACGCCGAGTTCGGGCACTCAAACGGCGCAAGAGCTTTTTCAAGCAGCTTCTCTCCACTATGGCCAAACGGACGTGAATGCTGTCTCTTACTTCGAGTGCGGATGTTGCTTTTCTTACAAAAACACTACTGTAATAAGTTAGTAGAACAAAAAACGCTCAAAAGTTCGAGGACCTTGACGCATAGATGAATGGAAAAACACAGTCGTAGAACAAAAGCACCTTAAATATACTTGAAACACTATTACATTGTTGGAGTATAATGTTTGTCAATAGGGATGAGGTCCCAGTATAGTTGCTATACAGGTACATGCCATATACTTTTGGCTCAAGTGCCCAACCAGGTAAAAAGGAGCTTTAGCGCGCGAGCTTCATGTTGAACTAAGGGCTAGAACGGGGCCAGGGCACACCTTTCCATCCGTTCGCAGGTTATCAGCCGTATCCAGACTCCTTTGAGCTGGGTACGAGCTACGGCCTTACACAACACCATCTAAACGCACACGCATCGGACAGATCAGTTACCCTCAGTCACTGAAGATGGACCAATCCGACGCCAGCACTGCATCCTTTGGAGCAACTGCTGCGGCCGCAGATCGGATGAGTGCATCCCACAACTCTAGTCCAGGTACGATCGAAGCGGAGACTCTGACAGTGGTGAGAGAAGTTGCGACAGGTAGAGCGCGAAGTCGTTCCCCGTCAGCGCACTCGACACCACCGGGGGGGACACCGAGATCAGGCCGTAGCCCTAGGGAGACAAGGAGGAGAACTGACACCGGAGCTGTGAGAGTGCTAGCATTGGAGGATGGGTCAACTGTACCAGTACCGTCGGACAGCGAAGCTGGAGACGGAGCAAGGGCGAGCACTGACAACCTACAACTAGCACGGGCCGATGGAGACCTCAATGCGAAGTGTGCACAACTACTTGCCGAAGTGCATATGTTGAACCACCAAAACGCATGGATGGTCGAATGTGAGCAGAGACAGAACCAGATTATACAACACGAGACCGAAGTCCACGAAGTAGTGATGGCACACCTCGAAGAATGTTATGTCGAAGGATATGGAAATCAACGAAGAATCTCCCAACTTACTGAATCCAGAGACTGCTTACTCTCAGCAGCACACGATTTGCAATACCAGATTGACACTGATCGTGTGGCAATGCAGGATCGTCTCACCCAGTTAGGGGAGTACGCTGATCGTAACAGCGCAGAGATGGTTAGTCAAGTTGTGAACATCGGCACGGAAGAAATCCAGGCTATATCGGCGGAAAGAGATCGAGCCGTAGCCGAGGTCATGACTACAATTGCAGACGCTGAGAACGTCAAGGACCTGTGCAGGCAGGAGTTAGTTGGAATACAAAGGCAGAGCGTCAGGAACAAACACGAATATGCAGAAGAGATGAAGATGAGGGAAGCAATGTATACAAGCAAGATCAAATGGTTATCAGAAGAGAATGAGGAGCTCAACAACCGATCTAATAATCAGGACAATTTCATCATGACCATCAGGGAGCAATTGAAGAGGGCGAACGAGGAGTTGACACAGGCGAGGATTCAAGGATCCGGTCGACCGTCTCAACCATCCAACGCCGAACTCAAGAAAGCCGAGGTCAAGGTGAACATGTTGGAAGAGGACATTCTACGTAAAGAGAGGATGCTGAAACGTCTTCAGGAAGAATTGATCGAATCAAGTGCAAGTGAAGCACAATTGAAGGTCGCACTGGAGTTAAACCACCAGACATGGGATCAGAACCCAATGTGGAGAACGAGATGGTGACCAAGCTTAGAGCGGAACTCGGACGTACCGAGAAGTCATTAAGGTCCGAGGAGAAAGAGGCAATGGAGTACTACGAAGGTATGATGCAGAACCAGCAGGACATGATGGAATTCGAAGCGCATGCAGCACGGCTCAGAGATGAGAGGAATAAGTACCGGAGGAGGTACGAAGAGGAGCGCTTGAATGCTGAGAATGCAGCCGCAACCGAGCATGGTGCCGCTTCATCCTCTAGCTCGGGTGGCTCCAAGATATCTCGGAAGGAACACGAGAAGATCAACATCCCTGCATGGCCCAAGATACACGACCTGGAGGTTTGGAAATCCCAGGTTGTAGCGGCAGTCGTGACGGCATCGGGCGACGAAAGACAAGAAGACTGGATCCAGTGGCTCTCGGATGCCTTCAGATCACCGTATGACCCATTTCTGCTCGAGACATCGGGCGAAGCAAGATTCGCTAGCATAGACGCTAAGCTAGGTATCACCCTACATACGATCATCCACGCAGCAGGTGAGAGATCTCATGACGTACAACTGAAAGTGAGGCAGATGATGCAGAGACGTGCGAGAGGTACAACTCCTGGAATGGTCAAGGGACGAGAAATGTTAGCGTTGATCGTCGATAGCTTCCGGAGTGCCGACAACGTCGATGTGATGTATGCATCCAAGCACTTATTCGATCTAAAGTTCCCTGGGGATAATCAACTATCCAGATTCCTTGGACAGTGGGATGAGATCATATCAGGTATGGATGCGGATGATATGCTTCCTGATAAAGCACTTCGCAACCTGCTTTGGGATAAGATTAAGGATTCCAAGGTCATGGCGTTAGACTTGTCTGTGTACGATAACATGTTGGATAAGGATCCGGATAAGACCTACCAGAAGTTACGAGAGATCATGGCGAAGTGGATACGGAAATCAATCGAGACCACAAACAAGAAAGAAAGGGAAAAAGCCTTTGGGAACCTCATGAAAGCCACACCAGCGGCGGAGAAGAAGGACCCTAAGGCGAAACCCAAGAATACCAAGGCCGATCCACTGAAGGACGCCGCTCCGGTACTTCCTCAGGCTAATCCGAAGGATCGCAACAAGAAGGACAAGAAGCAGGATCGTGGAAGATCAACCACGAAGAGCCCAAAGGGGGATCGTGGCAGGTCAGCGACTCCAGCAGATACATCCAAGATAGGATGCGCCTTCCACTTCCATGGGAAAAACGGATGTTCTAGAGGAGACAAATGCAAGTTTAGTCACCAAGAGAAGCACAAAAGTTCTGCTAAGAAACCAGAAAGCCTCAAGGGTGACAGATCAAAGAGTCCTGGTGGCAGGAGCACTAGCCCTAAGCCAATGAAGGATCAGGTCTGTTGGAATTGGCAGAAAGGATCGTGCAAGTTCGGGGACAAATGTCGACGCCAGCATCACGCTGCTCCTGCTACAAAACAAGAGGCTAAAGGCAAAGCCAAGCCCAAACCGGCTGCGCCAGCCTTCACGCTTTGCGGAGACATCGAGAGTGATGGCGAGGACGTACAACCCGCACTTCCCAACGTACAACAAGGTAAGCTGGCGCTTCGCTTTAAAGTCAGATTCGATGACCGGGCGAATGTGACCACGTTTACCTGCGATCCTGGTAACGAGCTAAATACCCGTCCCCTCAGGAAGAAGAAGGATGAGGTGCAGAAGGTGGATACCGAGCTCATTTCGTCGTTGAGAGCCCTCAGAGTGAACAATATAGCTGCACGAGTAGCACATGCCAAGGGTAAGATGATGGAGCTATACTCAGCTGAACACATTGCCAAGGCATGGATACAAATCACTCAAGATGAAGGGATCGAGGTGAACGTCGACCTGTCTGACTTCAACACCAGCGAGGTAGTAAGGAAGGATTCTATCAACTACACGATACCGGGAGACACGATGTTCATGGCTGTGGAGAGGTATTATGGACCACCGATACGCTTCATCATGGACACAGGATGTGGACATGACTTGATCTCAAGAGAGAAAGTCAACGCCATGGGCCTTACCACCAAGGAAGGACCCAAATCCGTGAGCTTCATGACAGCGAATGGTGTAACTAGTACATCAGAGATGGTGGACATCAATGTGGACGAACTACCCATGATGTCCGAGGCACACGTGTTGGAGAGCACACCATCAGTCTTCTCCATCGGGAAACGGTGCATGGAACAAGGGTATTCATTCATATGGCCGGCAAATCAGTTGCCATACCTCATCGACCAGAACGCGAACAAGATTCCGCTATCGGTGCATGACAACATACCCTACATCAAGGTGAATGATGATGACGGGAGATGTTTACCAAGACCAGACGGCTTGGCTACGATACTTCATCGCATACTGTCAGGTGTGGGGCATGAAGACGAGGCCACAGCAGGTCAGGAGGCACAACAAGAGGAACCTCCGCCCAAGAAACCACGGAGACGGAGGAGAAAGAAGAAAGATAACCAGAGAGATCGAGATGGTGAATCTGATATCAATCCAGCTGTTGCAGGCGTCGAAGGAGAACCAGAGGAACACGGTGATGATAGGTATTCTCCTGAAGAGGGATATGACGGGGAAGACCCGAGAATCGATCGTGATCACGATGGTCAACCTGAAGAAACCGAAGACGACGAACATGGAGGTGATGCGGATTCTGAACGAGAAGAGAGTGACATTGGTGAAGAGGAAGAGGGACTATTGGAAGTCGATGTGGTTGACGGGGAAGCCAGACTATCAAAACCAGGAGTGCTGAAGAATGAGGCGAAATCCATATTGCACCTGATGACGCACCGATACAAGAACCCATACTGCAAGTCGTGTGTGAGAGCAAAGATGAAGCACTACAAGACTAGCAAGGGAGCTTTCAAACGGAAATTGAAGGCATTTGGTGACCTTATCACCTTCGATCTCATGAACACTCAGAAGATGGCGAGAGATGGGATCATGCCGGATAAGGATGTATTAGTGATTCGAGATCGGTTCACTGGTGTGATATGGGGCTATCCATTGAAAGCAAGCAATAGTGACGAAGTGGTGCAGGCGATGAAGCACTATATCGGTAAGAGAAAGGTCACCAACGCTTACTCGGATGATGCGCCACAATTTGAAGCAGCACTCAAGGAACTCCGGATTCCGCTAGACCAATCGCTTCCAGGACATCCCCAGAACAACTCACTCGCCGAAAGAAACAATCAGTTCATGATGCTTACCACATCGACATGCCTACTAGAAG